CGCGGGAACAAGCCAGGTCCTGCAGGGCGAGAGCGCGCCTGCGCCCTGCATTCTTGCTGCCCGCGGGAGAAGTTTCTGGAAGCTTCTGGATGGAGAGCTGGGGCGGCCTTTCAGTGGTCTCCTGCCGGGATCGCGCTTCCCGCCAGCCCTGCGCCGCCGCGCCGGCTTGGCCTGGAATGGATCGGAGCCTGCAGAGGGCAGGCCGAGGAAGGCGGGGGCCAGCGGTCTCCCTGCCGCGAGCGCCCGGCACCTCGCACGTGCTCCGCAGAGTGGCGGGGGGAGCTTGCGTCTCCAGTTACCGTGCCGACGGAGGTGGGGGACGCCAGCGCGGCCCAGCCCCGGGTCCTCTGCTCTCCGGACCGGGAGCGGGTCGCTTGTAACCGAGTCCCGGGTTAGTGTATCCCAGCCGTCCTGGGTGGCGTGTTGGGGCCGCCCGGGTTACTTGATCGGAGTAGCCCTAGTTGCTTGAACACTGTGGGCAGTCACCTGAGGGCAGCCTTCTCGGTGTTGCTTGCAAGGCCGCACTGGGCAGTTCGTACAGAGCACTCGCTCCTCTGCACCTGCAGCTCGGCCACCCCACCACCAGAAGGTCGTGCGGTCCTGTGGGTAAGGTTCTGGGTGGAGGTTCAGAGTATGTTCAAGTGCAGCCGAGCTACTTACATTATGTGGGCCAGGAGGGTTGCTCAGATTCCAGGAAGCCAGGGTGAGCCCGAGACCCTGCACCCCGGGTCCCTGCAGCAGCCTTCTCACTAGCCGGGATGGTGGGGTCAGCCTGTGCCGGTCAGCAGGTGGGCAGATGAGGCAAGTGTGCGTGTGACTCGGAGGACGGGCACCGAGTGGTGTGTGACAGGCACAGGGAGATCCTGCTTCAAAGAAAGGGAGGGTCGAGTGCTGGCTTATCTGGCTGGGGGTCAGAAGGACACGGGGCCGGCCGTTCAGGGCACCCGCTCGTGCGCAGCATGGTGGTGGTTTCTGATCATGTACCGTGTCCTCCAAACTGTAAACACGACAGGGAGCCTGGGAGCTTGGTGACTCTGGAGCCACCCCTCCGTCGTCCTGGAACTGTCGCTTTGTTGTGGACGCGTCTATTGGGCAGTTTTGCATACTGACCAGATTTCCTTTTCTTTTCTTTCAGTTGGTCGAATTGTCTTGGAGTTATTTGCAGATATTGTACCCAAAACTGCAGAGAATTTTCGTGCATTGTGTACAGGAGAAAAAGGCCTTGGACCCACAACTGGGAAGCCTCTCCACTTCAAAGGATGCCCTTTCCATCGAAGTATGTGCATGTTCTGAACCTGATCAGTCCTCGTTTGCACCGTCCACTGCTATCTAGGAGTCTGGGGAGAAAGCCCTCCAGCAGAGGTAGAGGGTGCGGGGTGGGAGCAGAGAGCAGCTTGTGTGCTGTGGGCTTCACGCAGGGAGGGTGGCGGGGGCTGCAGAGTCCTCCAGGCTGCCAGCGTCCGTGCCCTGTCTCAAGCTCTGTCACCTGCCGTCACAGCTGGGGCTGAGGACCAGGAGCCCTGGAGAGCTCAGAGGGGTGGTCTGGCCACCCTGAGCACAGCGGTGATGTCTGTGTGAGATGTTCCGGCAGAGCAGGCCTGCCTGGTGAGACTGGTCTCCATGAGCAGGTGCTGCTCGGCACCCTGCCAGCCACACAGGGGACAAGGCGGGCAGGAAGGGACAGGTCGCCATGGCTTTTGTGGGAAGTAGAGTCTGATACTGTGGGAGAGACGTGAGGTCTGACTTCGGGCTTTCAGCGACAGTTTACGGGGAGGTGCTGTGAGTGCACACTGAGTGTTGGGGGTCAGGCAGTAGGTGGGCCGGTGAGCAGAGGTGGTCGGGAGCGACGTCCCTGGGTCGGGCCTAAGGGAGCAGCCTTAGATGGGGCGCTGTCTCAGTCACTAACAGCCGTTTTCTTTCTCTGCAGTTATCAAGAAATTTATGATTCAGGGTGGAGACTTCTCAAACCAGAATGGGACAGGTGGAGAAAGTATTTATGGTGAAAAATTTGAAGATGAAAACTTCCATTATAAGGTAAAGTGAAGACGCGTGTTGTTGACGTACAGGTTGGAGGTGTCTGGAATGCTTGCGCTCAGACACCAGGAACTCACAAGGATGCTTAGAGCCTCTTCCCGTCAGAAGGCGCATGCCCTCGTCCAGGAGGGAAGTACCCCGGCGCGGCGTGCCTGCGTCTCACCCTTTCCCGTCAGCCCCTCCTGTCGGGGTCTGGGGCACACATGCATGCACGCTTGCCTGGTGTGTTTTCAGCTGCTGGGGTCGGGATTCGAACAGTCTTCCCTGTGGAGCTGGCTGTGTGTGCCTGGTGCTTTTTTTTTTTTTTTTTTTTTTTTTAAAAGTTTTTCTTCTAAGGCCGCTCCCC